CCGCTGCGGGACTTTGTGAGCCGGCCGCCGCGCGGCCACGTGCGCCTGCACTGCACCATGATCCGCCACGACGACGCCACGTCCAGCTCCGGCACCTCGTACACGCTGTACCTCGAGTACCTGGGCGGGCTGGTGCCGCTGCTCAAGGGCAAGCGCACCAGCAAGATCCGGCCCGAGTTCGTCATCTTCGACCCGCGGCACGACATCAGTAAGTGGTCGCTGAAATACGACGTGCCTCAGGTACAAAAATTATGAGGTCCTACAATGGATCAGACCCATTACTAAAGACTATAAGGATGCCATGATATTTGTACCCCGGGGTGCAAATATCATGGGATCTATATGGACTCCAACGATGTTTTCTGATCATTTCTGGACCCCATAATATTTGTACCCTCCCTCCAAGAGGCACGTAGCCTGACGGACTGGACGAGCGCTCCAGCCTCAGGTTCGGATGCACTGACCGACCCACCTCGCTGTTGCAGACACCGCCGATGACGACCCCCGCCTGGGCCCGTCCGGGCCGCTGTGCTCGTGGGCGTACGGCTCGCTCGGCTCGGGCCTGCCCGACGACGACGCCGAGTCCGACTCAAGCACGGAGGACGGCGGCTGCGTGAGCCCGCGCATGGGCCGGCGCCGGACGCACCACCCGGGGCACCGCGGCCCGGGCAGCAGGCACTTCCGGAGCAGGTACGCGCCGAGGAGCACGCCGGCCGAGCTCGTCTACCGCGACAGCCTGTCCGAGGGGGAGGCGCTCACGCAGGTCACGTCCAACATTTGGGGCACGCGCTTCAAGGTGGTGGGGCTGAAGGGGCCCGGCATGCCCGCCGTGCTGGGCCAGATCACCTACAAGACGTCCCTGCTGCACCTGCAGCCGCGACAGATGACGCTCTGCATGACGGAGCTGCGCGACGAGAGCTCGCCGCCCATCATCTTCGGCCTGGCGCCGCCCAAGATGCTCAACCCCAAGGCGCGCTCCCCGGCCGCCACGGCGGTGGCCATCGCGGCGGCGGCCACGGCGGCGGGCGCGGCGGCGGCGGCCGTGGAGGAGGCGGCGGTCGCGGGAGGTAGGTGTCCGTTCCGTGGTGTCCGCGCCGCGCGCCCCTCGGCGAGCCGGTCGTCGTCCCCGCTCACTGTCCTCTCTGTTCCAGCCGAAGCGGCCCAGGGCGGGCGGGCTGGCGCGGCGGCAGCCGCTGCCGGGGCTCAGCCGAGGACGCCGAGGGCGGTCACCGAGGGCCAGGCGCCCTACTTGTTCAGCAACACCCAGAGGTAGGTGTCCGCGGCCGCGACGGGAGTACATAAGGCGCGGGGTTGTCGCTGACGGCGAGCTGCTCTCCCCTTCCACAGGCACAGGTTCGAGTCCACCGCCGCGGCCCTGGCCGCCGCACACGCCCAGCAAGCCATCGCCCACGCGCACGCACAGCAGGCTCAGCAGGCGCAGGCGCAGGCCGACCCACCCGCCGCGCCGCAGCCGCAGGCGGTGCCCCCGCAGTCCAGGACGCCGTCGCAGCGCGGGTCCTCGCAGCGCTCGGGCTCCACGTCACAGAGGCCGTCGCAGAGGTCCTCCCCGCACCGCTCGCGCTCCGGGATGACCTCCGCGATGCCCGCCCTGGCGCGCGCCGAGTCCTACAACGACGACGAGTTCCCCCAGGTAAGCGTTGTGCGCCGGAAGCGTGTTGGCCTCCTCAAGCCTCACTGCACCTGCAGCTGCAAAGCAACGCCTCACTCTTCCCCTCTGCGCGCAGGTGACGCAGATCCAGGTGCAGGCGCAGGTGCTGGCGGAGGGCTCGGGGGCCCAGCGCACGCCGGCGCTCCAGTCTCCGCGCATCGGCGTGGCCCCCGTCCTGGTGAGCACGCCCGTGCCGGCCTCGGACTACGACAACGTGCAGCGCGTCAAGGCAAACCAGAACCAGCTGTACCAGTTCGGGCTCAAGCAGGGCGGCTGCAGGCCGTCTGTCGAGGCGCACGTCAACGCCCCGCTGGAGGCGGCGGCCGGTCAGGCGGCCAGGATGCCCTGCGAGTCGGCGGCGAGCCCGCGGCCGCCCGGCCAGCTGTACCAGCTCAAGAGCTGCCACACCCAGCCCGCCGACGCTAACCCGGCGGACGTGGAGGAGATGCGTATCCCCGTCTTCAGCATCCCCTCCGAGCTCAACAAGATCGCGGACCTCAACGACCCGGACGCCATCCTGCCGGACCTCATCATCCCGGACGTCAACATCGAGGACCTCAACATCCCCGCCTTCATGGACGAGCCCGAACCGCCCGACGATCAGGTAGGCGCCAGAATAACGTCTCGGCAGTCCAGTTCCGTTACATATAGAATGTCCGTTCTGACCTCGTGATCCTCTCCAGGGCTCGGCTGCCTTGGCCGCGGTCCTGAACTTCATCGACGACGAGGTCGGCGAGGTGCGCATCGGGCCGGCGCGCTCCGTGAGCCGCTCCGTGAGCGTCGGCTTCCTCAACGAGGTGGCCGTCGGGGTGCAGCCACGTAAGCGGCTCGTCCTGACCAACCGGCGGCGCGGGCACGGCGACGACGCCGAGGACGCCGACAAGGAGGACGGAGGTAAGGACCAAAGACAGCACAGACGCTAGCTGTCTGTGGGTGTGCGCGCGTCGACTTTACGCAGCGATATATGAACTCGTTGCAGATCGGAGGTCCTGCAGCAAAAGCATGAGCATGGATGCGTTCCCGGGCTACAACCGGACGCTGCACGCAAGCTACTTGGGTAAGCGAGCCTCCCGCTTCGAGAAAGGAACGTCGCAAATCCCAGTCGCCACCATGATTGCACTTCTCGCTGTGCCCCCAGGCCCCGTGCTGAGCTCCACCATCGAGGACGACGACACGTCCCCGGCTCGCAGCCGCCGGCCGAGCCCCAGCAGGCCCGCCACGCCGGCACCCGTCCACCAGCCGCAGGTCCAGCCGCAGCCGCGGTCCCAGCCGCAGCCACGCGCCCGGCCGGCCCGACACCAGGCCGACGACGACATCCGCGTCCTGGCCGAGCCCCTATTCGTCAACCTCCCCGCCGAGAAGGACAAGGCGTCGCCCGAGTCCCCGCCGGACGACACGGACGTCGAGTCCTCGGACAGCAGCAGCCCGTTCGCGCCCCTGGTGGCGGCGGAGGTGCCCGTGAAGCCCAAGAAGAAGAGGACGCTCTTCGACTCGCTCAACGCCCGAGACGTGATGACGCTGGTGGACTGGCCGCGGCGGCGCATGCGCAGGAACAAGCGCAAGGACGACACCGAGGCCATCCTCCTGGACCAGGACTCGGACGCGGACAGCAGGCACAGCACGCCCGCGAGCCCGAGCAGGCAGCCGCACAGCACGCCCGCTAGCCCGGCCGCCAGCAAGAAGACCCCCAAGAGGACGCTGTCGTCCTCGCCCATAAGGTAAGCTTCGGGGTCTCGGAGACCGTCGCCGTGCTGTGCCCCCCGCTGACTCACACCGGTCTTCTCCTCGGATTACAGGCAGCGCATCCTCAACTCTCCGCTGCTGCGGCGTCGGCGACGGAACCGGAGCGAGGCGGACGGGGAGTCCGGCGACGAAGCCGGCCTGGTGGCGGCCATCGGCGCGCAGCAGTACAGCACGCTGGAGTCCTTCCAGAAGGCGCAGCTGCGACAAAAGGTGAGTGCCACGCGTACTACGAGTGCCGCGTACGAGTACGCCCCACGATGACCACGACCCTCACGACCCTCGGTCCGCTTGCAGCTCAAGCAGAAGAAGAAGAACAAGGGCAAGGAGTGCTCCGAGGACTCGGACGACTCGTCCCAGCCCCGCCAGCTGCAGTTCATCATGCACAACAAGGCCCCCATGTGGAACGAGAACAGCCAGGTGTACCAGCTGGACTTTGGCGGCCGCGTCACGCAGGAGTCCGCCAAGAACTTCCAGATCGAGTTCCTCAACAAGCAGGTGCGCCTTCTGTGCAGTCGCCCCCCGCGGCTGTTGTTGCTTCTTATGAACCTTAGATCCTCCATAAACTAGTTTTCTCTCGATACTCAGGTGATGCAGTTTGGTCGCATCGACGCCAACGCCTATACACTGGACTTCCAGTACCCCTTCTCTGCACTCCAAGCTTTTGCAGTTGCCCTGGCAAACATCACCCAGCGACTCAAGTGAACTGGGAGAGCAAGGCTGGCCCATGTGTACTGACGAAGTTGTCCATTTCATTCGCATTGGTACAAACCAGCTGCGCTGAAATCAACTTCTCTTTCAGTATAAATGAAGACATTTCTGACTGACTGAAATGGGGGGGTCGTGAACCTTTTCATGATTTAGTGGGGATTGTTTATGTGATTGCTTTTGCATTGTAGCACCCTGAATTTGGCATTGAGTGTTAAAATGTCCTACTTGTGTCATACATGACTTATGGATTGTAACTCTAAATGATGTGTATTTACCTTGTAAGGTACCTATTAATATTTGTATATTGTTCAATGTGATTGTTTTGGTGGTGCAGGGTGGGCGGCCAGCCCAGAGTTGGAGCAGATGCTAGCGGGCTGCCTATCGGCTCGGAGCCATAAGCATGCATTAGGCAAACCCGAACCCGCACGCCAATCCCTCTGACTGGACTGGCCGCCCAATCTGGGTGTTATTTAATTTAATCAAGTCAACTCTCCCCTGTCTTTGCTCATATTACCTTTCAATTGTAATTCATTTTACATATTCAATCTAAGGAGGACGTTAACAATTGTGGCACGGTCTTTCTGCTGTGTTACAAATTTGTCTTAATTTGTTTATTGGCAACGATCTATGGCACCGACCAGTTTTCAGAACATTTTAATCCAAGGTTCAGATTCTATACCGTCCTGTAGAATACGTATTTTTTTGCCCTTCCAGAAATCTTGATTGACTTAAATTGTTTACTGGATTTACCTATGTGGCCAGCAAAAGCTTCTTGAAATTGTGGAGAAATTTGGAGCAAATAAACCATTTTTCAGGTGTTGAAATTTGGGTGCATATGAGGACTATTTCCTAGGCTTGCTTTTCAAACAGCCACATGATTTACCTTTACGTTCTTGGGGAGGGGTGGGAAGTGTGTTGACCCCCCTTTAAATATGTTTTCTACACATAAAAGCGACAATTTAGTTCTCAGGACTAGAGCAACAGGAAAGAAGCTAGATAAATAGTAAATTAACTTTTCAAAACTTTTAAAGATTTGCCCTCCTCTTTACTGAATTGGAATTGAATCGTACAAGCTTCTGCAAAGGGAGTGTGACAATTTGCCAAAAGAAAAGAAATCTAAAGCTGTGTATAGAAATATGTGATGGAAATTGATAGGCTATCCCCAAGGTATTGTCAACGAGGAGAATGCGTTTGGTCAGGATCATGATCAAGTCTTGTAAATGGACAGTATTTTTTAAATAAAGAGACACATGAATTCTCTAATTATGTCCTTGATGGTACATTGTATTGCGTCCCAAGCAGAACAAAAAATTCCAGTTATGATCTCAATTTAACGTCCAAGGACTTCAAATTGGTACATTTGGGACTTTGAGAAGTTTGGGAAGTGTCATATGTTGTGTGTTATGTGCCTCATGACACTAAGTAGCTTGTACAAACTATGTTTGGAAATTTATTATATGCTTATTATAAATGTGTTACTATTAGGTATATTACAATTATTATTATTATTCACTATTATTAGGGACTCCTAGCATTCTAGGAGCTTTGCTGAGAACTGGTGCCTGTAAAAAGTGTCATCAAAACATCTTGTATTTGATACAGTTATCCTATTCCCTTCCCTTGTCTTCTCTTCTATGTTCATGTCTGTGATAAAAAAAAGGAAGAAGAGGTTTGTGTTTTTCTTTGTCAGTACACTCAATCATTATTAAGAAGTCGTTATAAGGTATAATATAAGAAGGTATAAAGAGTATAAATCTCTTAGAAGAAATCTGCAAAACTCTGGTTTCTGAGTCACCACCATTGAAGACATAGACAAAATAGAATCACAACCATCATGCTGGAAATTGATTCCATGGGCAATAGTATTAAATTTTATAAAAGATGGCCTGCAAGTATTTTTATGTAACTTTAGCAAGCAAAAATTTGATTGTAATACTAGAGTACTTAAAAGCTAGGCAGATATTGGGAACCCCCGCCATGATACTGACACAGATTAATTGGTTTAATTGGTAGAGAGCTTGACTGTTTCTGTTATTTTCTGGATTCCAAACAGTCAGTGATGGAAGATAGGTAATCTATTAACCACTCTCACATCCAATAATGTCTAGTACCTATCAAACTAGTAACCTTCAGATAATGATGTCACGTAATTTAACTTTTGGGGTTTATCTGGCAAACAAAGCTCCATTCCGTCATTCCATTCTAAGCCGTCCAATTTTATTTTCATTACTGCTTATTAGGAAATATGAAATGATGTGTTCTCATTGTGTTTAGCCATGATAAAGTCAGAGGAATCTGTAATCAAAATAAAAATTCTTCATTTGGAAAATGATTGTACTATGAAAGAAGATTTCTCCTTAATTGTTACTCAAAAGATTTCTTATAATAATATTCCAGTTCCTTCCTAATAACACTTGCTCAAAGCATAAAAAAGGGGTAAAAATACTTCAAGCTTGGTGGTACATTTGCCACTTCAAAAGAGGGGAAAGACATTTGTGATCTACTTATAAAATGCATTAGAGTATTGATGGAAATTATTAAATTTTCAGTTCAACAGCAAACACTGGTAATCAGGCTAAAATTAAAGTATTCTAATGGCATACTCCAGTGTCTGTACAAGACTTGGTAACAAAAATTACCTTGTAGTTATTCTCTATTTACAGCAACAATGATGGAATGCTGCTGGGCTTAGCTCAAAGCAGGTTGTTAAATGTGTTTGGCGGTCATCAACATTAGGTTTGTCAAGTCTGAGGTAAAATTTGTCTCTATTTGTGTTTTTGCGTAAAAAAAAAAAAGCCATGAGAGGTTCTGCTAGACTCTTGTTGGATTATTTTGTGATATGTGTAAGCTTGATTGTAGGTGTAAATGTAAAAATTAGTTTATTTTGAAATTTTTAACTGCTTAACATAAGCACAAGAAGGTCAAACAAATCCACTTCTTTAGTTTTTGGTTTTGTTTGAGAGAGCCAAGGCTTGAACATGCTTTGACGCATTTTGTTTAACTGTTTGGTGTGGATACATTAAAAAAAAAAGTTCTCCTATGAGGTTTGTATGCTCATGCTTATGGATTGAAGAGCACTCAACTAAAGTATAAACTGATATACCTGTTGATGTTGATATGTCTTTTTACAAATAATTTGAAGATGATTGAATGAGTAATGTTGCCCACAGTCTTCCCCCGTATTGAAAGAGATGAGAATTAAAATAAGACTATGGAGTATGGAACTAACCATTTAAGAACCCTAATTTAATTTAAAAACAAAACACTACGTAAGTTCCATAATCCCTTGCAATTTGACATGGCCTAACTTGTCCATGGAGATGAACCTTCACAAGAACAATCATGTAGCTATGCTAATAATTTATCTCTTGACCAAACTTAAACTTCAACAAATAGTTTCAAAATTTTAAATGCACCGTGAGTATGAAAAACAAGATGGTTACCGTACAAGAGAAAAGACAAGTACGGCAAAATGTTTTTGTGTTTTTCTTTTTTGAATGTGGAATTACTAAATTTCAACCGTCTCTGTACAGGGAGTTCAAGAAACCAAAATTAATGTAACCAGTTTTGGAAAAAAAACATCAAGAGAAAATATTGGCAATATTTTCATAATGTGCAAGCAAACAAGTTAGATTAATTCATACAAATGTGAAATAATTGATTGAATGTGGGCAGTTACCATTTTTAACTCTTGGATTGTTGTTATTAGAGTTTTTACTTTTGTGTTATTGTTCGTGGAGCTGGTTTGGCAACAGTTTTAATTATTTGCTTCTAGAATCAGAATTGTGTGTGAAAAGTTATCTAAATTTAAATTTTGTTCCTATTTCATTGTTGTGCTTGCTTGTTTTAATACTCTTTGTTAAATGTTTCATTTTAGTACAATATTCCTAAACTGGAGTACTGAAAGTTCCTGTTGTAATGTGGTGCACACATCTTGGTAAGAGGGCTGTACATTCCGCAGTTAATGCAGTTAAAATAGAAATTTTGTAAAACCAAACTTTCAGTAATCCAGTACATTTACCTTGTACATTTGTTAATCTAGAGCACCCTTGAGAAATCATATTTTTACATAACTTTTTTCCCCATACTCAAAAAAGCACGTTTTTTTAAAACCTCTCATCTTTTAAATATTATGATCCAACACACCATACTACCAATCAGAAAGTCTCCATGCAACATCGAATTGGATTATGACCCTCTGACCTCACTCCAGTGTGTTGCATTTTTTTTTTAAATGTGTGGAAAGTTCAGATGGATCAATGCTTTTTAAGATTATTGTAACTATAACTATTATTGCTTCCAGCGGATTAAAATTTGCAATGTTACGTCATGGTTGTAATTGATGTCAATAAAGGTTTGACCCTTCAAATATGCTTTCTATCAAAATAACTCATTACCCGTTACCTTGTACTACCATTCACACTGAAATGGAATGTGTCAAGACCGTAAAAAAGATAACTCTGTATCAAAGAGGCAATTTTTAATTTCGCTTTTCTTTAGAATGTTGCAACCGTTTACAACACAAAAAGGACTGTACAGTAAAAACAACGCGAATGAACGCTCAACAATGATAAAAATAAATTAACAGTACTGATTTTGCTTTTTGGGAAGTTGGTAAGGATGTTACAAGAAAAGCTAAAAGACATATTTACAGGGAACTGAGAGAAAAAGAAGCCTCAATACCATGGCACACTACACCGTCCTTACTTTTAAAATCTCACAGGTAGATCAGACATAGCGAAGTATACCATATACCGTTACATTAAAGAATACTTTGGTGTTCCACCTGGCAGTGATGCGACAATGACCAGATGACAACAGGAGAGAAGTAGAATGATGAATGTTACCTACTTTGTGTTTAGATGCAGAGAATAAGGATAGATGAACTTGTGCAGCAAGTGAATTCCAGTAGCACAGCTTGTTGCTGGTATCTAAATTTACAACAAGCTCTCTAGAAGTGGAAAGATGGGAAAGACAGACAAGAGGAGGGAGAGCAGACTCTTCATTTCCTCAGCATCAGCTTCAGCAACTCATTGCCCATTTGGGCAGGGCTTCTTGTCACAACCACACCAGCCTGCAAGCAAAAAGTTAAGGTCAGAGATCAACAAAATTTTAACAGAGACTGACAGATGAAGCAAAAAAAGCCCACCTTTTCTAAAGCATCAATCTTATCCTGAGCTCCTCCTTTGCCTCCAGAAATGATGGCACCAGCGTGTCCCATTCGGCGACCAGGGGGAGCAGTCAAACCCGCAATGAATGAGACGACAGGCTTAGCATTTGGGCCCTGAAGGGAGGTCAAATCATTATAGTCCCCTGCAGTACAATGATTATGGCACAGTTTGATCAGGAGTAACATGTTCACTTACAGAGTTGTGCTCAATGAGATACTTAGCAGCATTTTCTTCCTGAACACCACCAATCTCACCAATAAGAATAATTCCTTCAGTTTCAGGGTCGTTGAGGAAAACTTCCAGGCAGTCAATGAAATCTGTTCCATTGAATGGATCACCACCAATGCCAATACACAGAGTTTGTCCGAGTCCAGCCTGGAGTAGAAGATAAAAATGTTTGAAATAGTCGGTCTTTCGCAGATCAGTCAAAACTTCTGCAACTCCTTGAGGTATTTCTCACCCTTGTGGTTTGGTGGACTGCTTCGTAGGTGAGGGTGCCCGACCTGGACACAACGCCAACTTTTCCCCGTTTGTGAACGTTGCCAGGCATGATTCCTATTTTGCACTACAAGAGAAAACTATATTACAAGCAATACTAAACTATTGAAAAAGAAACAAGATTACCAAAGGAAGAACAGCATACCCTTTCAGGAGCAATGATGCCAGGGCAGTTGGGTCCAATCAGACGAGACTTGTTCTGACGTAGCAAGCGGTGTTTGACCCGAACCATATCATGCTGAGGAATACCTTCCGTGATGCAAACAATGAGAGGAATCTCGGCATCAATGGCCTCTAAAATGGCATTTGCTCCAACAGGTGGGGGCACAGCAACAAAGGTGGCGTCTGCTCCGACTGAATCTCTGGCCTGAACAAAATAAGATTTCAATCATTTTTGAGGCACAAAAGCTCTGGGCAATTAACTGGATATGGTTTACACAATTATTAACCTCTTTCACAGTATTGAATACTGGGAGATCCAAGTTCTTCTGACCACCCTTTCCTGGCGTTGAACCACCGACAACTTTGGTACCATATTCAATTGCTTGTTTTCCGTGGAATGTGCCTTGTTTGCCAGTGAAGCCTTGAATTATCACTTTAGTTTCAGCCGTGAGCTTCAAGAACTTGCGGGTGTCAGAATAATTGGTTCGAACTCCACCTAGCTGTCGCAATGCTGGAACATATGGAATGAACAGTGTAAGAGCAATGTTCAACTCCAGTTAGAACTAGGTAATGTATCAACTAAAGAAAACAAAAATTAGAACATATCGCAAAAACTTGAAAAAGTAAAATGAATTAAAATTTACTCAAGATAAATAGTAGTTGTGGTAAGGGATTCAAATAAAAATCTAGTTAATGGGAATGCCAAAGTCCGTTTAGGGGATTGAGTGGAGTATCTATAATCTATCAAAGTTAATAAATAAAACAACTAACGAGATTTTTCGTGAAAAGATTGACGCGTGGAGAGACAAGTTTACAACATAAGCAAAAAATTCTGGAGTGTCAATCAATTATGTAAAATATATATTAACTCCCACTGTCTGTCACATCCCTTGCCCAACGTCACGCCTAACCTCAATGGCCAACGAAAGAATTCATAGATCGCACCAATTTTGAGGCATACGGGGCATTATGGAATAAAACCTTGAGCAAGAGAAAAAAAAATAATACCGAATTAAAGCTGTAGATTGCAAATTTCGAGTTAAAAAGTGATCATAATCCTCCTTCGACCTTCGGACAGACAGAAAACGGCTGCTCTCGGTCAAAGTACACCCGCTTGAAAAGTGACAAAATCGTTGTAAGAAAAAGTTCAAGATAGTCTAAACATTTGTAAAATTACCTCCAACACAGGGCAGAGAGCGTACGAAGAGTGCCATGTTCGAGCGAGGATTTATCACAGACACATTCACAACTTTCGCCCTTCTCAAACTTCACCTCCGTTCACAGAGTCAAGTTCAACCCAACCAACCAACCCCAACCCCCGTTATTGGCACTTCGTGGACCGAGCTGCCAATACTGGTAGATGAGTTATCAGCAGGCTGGTCCCCGTTCTGCTGTGCACCCTCCCCCTTCCCTCCTCCTATAGCCTATGTGCCACAGACTTTATCTCACTCTCGCTCTCTCTCTCACAGCCAATTTCTTGTCCTCTCACAATCTCCAACTCCAACCCGCCTGGCGAAAGCTCGTTATCATTCAGAGCCCAAAAGGAAAACAAACAGACCACAGGTCAGCAGCCAAACTTACGCGCCGCTCGTTGCGGTGACGTCATGGAGGGACAAATGCGGAGTGTCTTGTAGGGTGAATCTCTGGGAGACGAACAAAACTGTTCACACATATGTTCGGCACGAGCGCAGACATGGCAGGCCTCTAGAAGAGTCTCGGGGTCTCCAGCACTTTGATCCGAACGAACGCAATGT